CACATAAATATGTGTACAAGTATTTAGAGGTACCTTGAATTTCTTCTGGTAGTCCTTGAGGTGCTTTAATCGGAACACCATGACCTGCACTTGTTTGCTGACATCTTCGGTTAGTTTGCGGTCTTTCTTCTCGCGCCGTTGTTCATTGGTCAGTTGTCGTTCAGCGTTTGCGTTCTCATGTTTCGCCTACGGACGAGAAGTCAGGGTTTAGGGTTTAGATTACAGGGAATAGGGTTTAGGGTTTGGTTGCCAACCGGAAATATATCAGGTGAGAGCGGTGGCAATAACGTCAAACACTGACACACATCTGTGCAAAGATATTTCTGAAATGTTGGTATTGTATAAAACATTTTTAAAATACTCGTCTGTAAGCTGTATGTGTGTACATGGTTAGCATCCATAGATATTTCTAATTTTAAAATGTTAGTACTTTATAATACCATTTTAAAATTCTCGTTTGTAGGCTGCATGTGGCTACAAGGTCTGTATCCATAGATCGTTCTAATTTTAAAATGTTAGTACTTTGTAATACCATTCTAAAATGCTTGTCTGTAACCATATATCTACAAGCGCATGTGTATCCTGACCTTTTCGAAAGTTACAGTCGACTCTATATACCAACCCTATGCGTGTTCACCTACACATACATGTCACTCGGCTATTTGCGGTGCCTCAAACCCTTATTCACGTTTCATACACGTCCCTATACTAAACCTCTGAAGACATACCCACACATACACGTCTCTCTGTCTTTTTAAACAGCTAGAGCAGCCACAGCGTCGAGATGAGGAGCTATGAACGGCACACAACATCCTATCCCACACACATACGTACGTGCTCTTATTTAGATCTTCCTATCCACACACTTACGTACGTGCTCTTATGCACATCTTCCTATCCCACACACTTACATACGTGCTCTTATGTAGATCTTCCTATCCCACACACTCACGTACGTGCTCTTATGCACATCTTTCTATCCCATACATTTACGTACGTGCTCTTATACACATCTGCTTCGCGGTCATTTGCTGCATCACCAGCTCTCTCTTAAACCTTATCGGCTCGGCCAATTAGCCACCACGAGCCAATAGACCACACATCACACACAGACACCTGACACTCAATGGTTTAAACTCACTCAACTCATGTGTATTGGTTCAGAAATACCCATTCGCGACCCAATTTTCTATTAGAAAACGTATACGTTAATCTACCAATACCTACCAGGCGCTCCACCAGTCGCGACTCGGCGTTTTTCTTCTCCGTAGTTGGGTCCGCTACAGTATATACCAAACGTTAGATACACATATCACACGCATCACACCATCTGGAATACACTCATGCATACACAACGAACCCGTCACATGTATTGAAGTCATACCAATAGCATACACTCACACACAGAACACACAGCCCACAACCTCACGTGTATTTAATTACACAGTATAGTTATACATACCTGTCTCTCGGCCATTTGCTTCCGAACTTCTTTCTCTAACTTGGTCGGGTCCGCAACAGCATCGTCTTTCAGGGCTTGCATGAAGTTCGATAGCTTGAGCTTATTCTTAGGCACAACCAGACCCAGTCGGATCTTCTCTTGCTCCTCCTGCCAGGCCTCACGCCTCCTTTGACGTCTGAGGAGAATAAGGGAATCGCGTATTCGGTATGTAAGTGGGGGAATATGTGAGAATATATATATATATATATATTTAACATACACACATACACACACACACACACACTATATATATATATATATATATGTGTATATATACATACATACATACATACACACACACACATATATATACACACACATACACACACATATATATATATATATATATATATATATATATATATATTGGGACATATAGATTGTTATTCACCAAGGCTTGTGGTAGCGAATTTTCGCACTCAATACACGTACATACACAAAATATACACCTTCATACACGCATCAAAGCATACCCGTACATACATAATGTACACACACACACCCATGAACCATTCACCATTGCACAACCAGTCACTCACACATATCCTCTCACTCACCTGATCTTAACCCGCTCTTTCTTGGTCAGGTACAGTGGTATAGCCACATTCTGGTCACTCTCTGCTGGGGGTTCGTGTGGTACGGGATGTTCCACCAGATTGGTGACTCCTCTGAATATCCCATGAACGCCCTTCTTAGCGTCTTCGCCTGGATGATGCATAGGGTGTGCCACGGATGGGTATTACTACTTTGATTACACTACGCTTATATATTACGGTATAAGTATATGAGATGGGTATGGTATATGAGATGGGTATAAGTATTTGGGATTGGTTTGACTATATGAGATGAGTATAAGTATATGAGTAGGGTATACGTATATTAGGTGGGTATGTGTATATGGGGTTTAATTATATAGGTATTACCCAGTAGTGTATGTTAACCTTAAACCCTAAACCAAACCCTAAAACTCAATGAACACGCTACTCTGTACTGTCACCCAATGGCGTGCGTCGTGAAAAAGGTTCAATATCAATACTATTATACGAGATACCCATTAAAACAAACAAACAAACAAAATAAACAAACAAGCAGATCGATTAATCCTCTGGTGTCACCTTGCACACTCTTGGGTCTCCTGTTGGAGCATGTAAACAAACAAGATACCTAAACCTTAAGAGTAGTGTCGGTTACTATACCAAGGTAGGGCTTCACGGTTCTCTCGCAGCAAACCAGTAATAGTCTGAATCAAAGCCCTCAAACATTAGAATGCATACACAAGAGCACTCATCTATTTATCTAACACCTATATGCACACGAGCACACATACATACATGAAATCTACTACAGCCAATACAAAAGGTAGCCCAGTAACGAAATACTTTCACTACACTTCTATTCGATCTATCTATCACCTATACGCACACATATACATGAAATCCAATAAAAAAGGTAGCCCAGAAACCCCATATCTTAAATACACTTATATTCTATGTATCTATCACATATACGCACACATGTACACATACACATATACACGAAATCCAATAAAAAAGGTAGCCCAGATACCCCATATCTTAAATACACTTATATTCTATCTATCTATCACCTATACGCACACATGTACACATGCACGTATCGTATACATGAAATCTACTACAGCCAATACAAAAGGTATCCCAATGACCCCACACCTTCTGTCGTCGGTTGAGTTACGGCTTTGACATCCACGCCTTCGTCAGGGTAGAGTCCTGTTACCAGCACAGCCGCATCCCACCATTCCGTTACCGGTACGTTTATTCCCTGCAGTACGGTAATGATTTGGTCAAACTTAGTACGACTATACCTTTCTATACATTGATTGACTTTAGTACGACGGCATAGAAATAACGTATACAGCACAATGTATCCCATCATTCCGTTACCTGTACGTTTGTTTCCTGCAGCCCGGTACTAAGATTCGAAGTATGGTACGTTTACATCATGCCGCACATTAAACAACTTGGTTCAGCGGTATAAAAACGTATACAAAACGCTCCGCTATCAGTACATTTTTTGGTAAGGAATCTGATTGCCTACGTAGGTTTGCATCCCTATACATACTTAATGACTGGCGTTCAACGGTATCAAAACTTTATGTTACCAGTAATAGGGTTCGGTAACGCGTGGTATGTTTGTACGTTTTTATCCTTCTTTACGTTCAACGTCATTGGTATCACGGGATTGGCATTGGTACATCCCAGTACAGCATCTCATTGGCACGGATACATCCCAGTACAGCATATCGTCTTATGGTCACCGTGTTTTGTAGTTTAAAGGATTGCATATCACCACACTTGCATGGCACGACCAGTTACATATAGACGTAGCGATGACTAAACGTATATTAATTTGTGTAGTAGACGTATACAGGACATCATATGATGCTCGATGTACTTAAGAATAATGATAAATGTGCAGGTGAAGGTGGATATACACAATAGAAAGGTATATACAGTCGTGCGTAATACCCGTATCTTGAGAATACGGGTATAAATATCAATAAATATATAATAACAATACATACACATATACATATATATATACATATACATATAAATATACATACATACATACACATACAGATACATACATACACATACAGATACATACATACACACACACACATATATATATACATGAATACATACATACATACATACATACATACATACATACATACATACATACATACATACGTACATACAAACGTACATACATACACACAGACAGACAGACACAAACACAGACGCGCACACATACACAGACACAGACAAAGACACACACACACACACACATATATATATATATATATATATACATAAATATTTGTATATATAATTGAATATAAATATATAAAAAACTACAAATACAAACACTCACACACACACAAAAAAATAAGTATTTATATATACATATCTATACCGCTACGTATATATGTGTATATAATCAGATTTCAGAATGCGAGGATTAGACAGCAAAACACCGCTCACCAGTGTGTCTTTCGGCGTCAGAAGTGCCAGTTTTGTAGAAGCGGATATACCGGTTTTCTCTGCCGCTTCACCGATCTCTTTCTCGAGCTGTGCCACCATATGCTTGGTTCGGATGTTCTCCGCCACCCGCTCGTACTTTCCTGTATGATTACACGTAGTGTGTATATATTATCCTTATATATATATATATATATATATAATATACTCACACACACACAACACACACACACACATATATATATATATATATATATATATATATAATAATATATATATAGCTAATATATATACACACACACACTATATATATATATGTGTGTGTGTGTGTGTTAGTATANATACATACATACATACATACACACACACATGCACACATACACACACACACCGCGCGCATACACACACACACACACGCACACGCGCACAAATAACACACACACACACACACACAAAAAAACACACACGCACACATATACACACACACATACATACATACATATATGATATATATATATATATATAAATACACACTACATCCACATTCACACTACATTCGCCTACCTGGCTCTACCAGCACCATAGCGCGCCGTTTCCTACCGCTGTCCTTCATTGTAATGCGAGGATCCATATACGGCAGTACTTCCGGTACAACCTCAGCCTTCTCTTTGTGCACATACACTCCCCCGGCTCGTCTCTCCCGTTCCTTCTCCTCCTGCTCTCGGCGTGCACGCATGTTTGCTTGGAGATGGTTGGTGCGTCGGTTCACTTCAATGACGTTGCCGTCGGCGTCCACAAACCGACCTTGCTCGTCAAAGCGTAGCGATTTAGGGGCCACATCCTGTGAATAGGCGAGTGGATTTAGACACATACCAATACTTTAGGCGTGTTTCTCTAACAACATGTCGCATGCGTGGGTTGTGTTGTGTGCATGTAGGTATCCCTCTTACCTACATAATAACATAACTATATATCCGTGTGACTTGCCTTCTCGAACTGCTGTGCAGATGCTTGGGCCGCCGGTGCGTATTTGTTGCCAAAGTTCGGTCCCAAACTAGCTATGTTGCTCATTCGTGCTTTCAGTTGCTCTGCCATCGCCCTCGCTGAGATCTGTGCGGCATTCATCTGTGGGGAGGCTGGATCAAAGGGATGTAGTGTGTATGCTTGAGAGGATAGTACACACACACACAGACACACACACAATATATATATATATATATACATATACATTTCGTATTGCTTAGTAACATCTAACCCCCCAATATAATCATCAACCCGCTACGACATGTGATTCGTTTCGTGTGTGCGTATACATATACATATACAAACAGATAGACGACCACTATAACCTTTTATTCCAGCTACTTCATACCCACTGGCACGCCGACAACCTATGCTGATCGACTAACATATTCTTTCATCTACTGTGTTATTCCCTGTCGCCTCCCCCATACAATACCGGCACCCTCACATTCAGAATGAATTGACTCGACAGGTAAGTCTCAGGAGACGTTGAATGGATACTATGTGTATGTAACTATGTAACGCAATATAACAGATTCCCTGTTTGTGCACAAGTACAGGAGGCATCTATACATGTTTGCCTGCCTACAACAGGCTCGTGCACACGTACGTAAACAGAAGCAGACGCATATGCGACAATTAAATTACGTTAACGTCTCCTGAGTGTAAGAGTGAGAGAAAGCGTTTGCGTCCTTCGCCGCAATATGTACATAAAGCCGTTCAAAGTATATATATCGTCTGCTACGCCTATATTCTACCGGTTAACTTTATTCCTAGTACTAACACGTTGGCTCGTAAGAGCGCTACCCATACTCAGACCAATACACACTCTGCATACAAATACTTAGAGAGTCGGATATAGGAACAGCGTATATATATAACAAACATAAGTGAATAATAAGAAAGGGGTTATATTTATACACACTCTAGATATGAACACTCCTATATTCATATACACTCTGCAGCGGATATATATAACAAACATAAGTGAATAATAAGCTAGGGGTTATATTTATTTACACTATATATGAAAAATTCTATATTTATGCATATGAACACTCAGAGAAAGTCGGGTATAGGAACAGCGCATATTAATGATATATGTAAGTGAAGAACAAGTAAGAGATTATATTAATTGATAATACCTTGAACCTGAACTGGCGCCGCAAGGTTAGCAATAGACATTATATTATATATATGACAATACGAGGACAATATATATAGATATGATCGATCAATAGCGATAGACACGATACCTGAGGAGCTCTACCACTGGCTCGGAATAGCCAGCTTACAGCATAAGACGACCGTAACATATGGTCCATCATACTACCACAGTACAGGACACACAGGACACACAGTAAGATATCACCTGACAAGCTTTACCACTAGTAATAATCACCTGACAGTATAAAACAACCGTAACATATGATCCATCATACTACCACAGTACAGGACACGCAGTAAGATATCACCTGACAAGCCTTACCATTAGCTCTGGGCAATGGAGCGGCGAATTGAGTCTGTCTTGCGGCCGAGCCTGTAGCAAGAGACCACAACACAGAACAGTGTGAGATGAATACACCGCTAAAGACGGCTTCTCTCTGGTCTCTGATCATCAGCTACTGAGGCACTGAGAGACGCAGATGAAGACACACACACATGTACCTTATTTTGCAACACGATCCATACTTGATTGTCCACATATAAACCTACATGTATATATGTACTCAGTCGAATGTCCAAACGTTCTGACACGGGTCTGCACGCAAACCCTAAATCCTATGATACCTACCATGCGGTAAGGGCGCCACAAACCCATTCTGAGCAGTGGGTGCTGTGCCTTGGCTAATCGGAGCCGGCATCTTAAACCCGCTTGCGGCTACAGGTGGTGTTGATGTTCCCGGTTGTATTCCTATGAAGTAGGAGTTCAGTATAGTTCAGTATCGAGGTGTGTAGATAAGTGCAATGCTGACAAAAGGGGATTATACTCATGCACAAATTGATGTATTGCAAGGTAAAGATAAACCTATACATTTGGTATATTGAGTTGCAAAATGTATACGACACAGCCATTGGTCTGTTATGTGCATCGAGAAAAGTATTATGCGACAATTATAAACGATAACGATAAGGTAAATTTCCAATGGAAAATATACTAGACAAGACAGACACACACACACACACACAA